CCATCAATTTGGTCATGAATTCTCCGCATGAGAACACCATCCTTTATACTGAGACGGTTCCACTGACTCAGTATTTTCTTTGTTTCTCGACCAAATTGTTCTCTTTCCCTTCTTCCTGGGAATTTTTGTTCCTGGACGTGTTTCAATAGCGGTTGTAAGCCACTATCCGTTCTCTGGGCATCTCTTATCTTTTGGTGATTAAGGCAATTAAAATCACTACTGTCCATATGTTCGGGTTCCGTGGATATGTGCTCCACCCCGGTCTGCCCGTTTTGCATCACTTGTACCCCATGAGGGATATCTGTTGACGCTCTGACCTCACATATTCCTGTCAGTGTTTCTTCCTCATCACCCGGTCTCTCGTAAGGATTCCTTGATAAGGCGTCCGCATTGCCATTGGACCGCCCCGGGCGATGTTTTCTCTCTAGGTCAACGAGTGCCAATTCTGCTGCCCATCGCTGTTCGATGGATCCCAGCCTTGCTGTAATTTGAAGTTCTTTTTCAATATCTGATAATTTTTCTTCAAGTCTTGTTTGAAACTCTTTCATTCCTTCTAGTTTGCCAACACTGTTCTGTTGTCTAATATTTTTATTTACTTCTTCCGATAACAGACACTTTAAAGATGAACATTTCTCCTGTGCTTTTGATTTGCATGAACTTTTCCTATCCAGTTTCCTGGTTAGACTTTGAATTCCTTTATTAAGTCTACCAATTTTCTTCTTATCATCATTTTTCTCTACCAACAAATTGTTCACTTGACACTTTTCAACATTCAAGTTCATTTCACAGTTCATTTTTTCCATTAGTTGTGTTTTACCTTTCTTTTTCTCCTTACTGTGTTTCTTTGTCATTTTGTTTACCAAGTCATTACCTCGCCGCTCTGTAGCCTTGACCTGCCTTACAGAGGGCGATCGTTTCACCGGACAGTACCGTGCCATATGTCCGGGTTGTGAACAAGACAAACAAATTGGTCGACCGTCTGCCGTCCATTGGAGTGATGGCTTGGCAGGACACGGCCGTCCAACCCGTCCCTGTTTTGTCCCGTTCTTTTCCTGATTCTCAGCTGTTGACCTGCTTTCCAACCTCTCCAAACGTTGGTCAACCTTCTCTAGGTGGGCCAACAGTTGAGCCATCATGGTCTCCATCGTGTCGGCCCCTGTGGGTGGGGATTGTCTCTGTTCAGGCACAGAGACTTTATCCACCGAACAGTTCGATTGGTCCTCATCCTCGGACCTGCGGATCGCTGAGTTCCTGACCTGAAGGAAGGTCAACTGCTGGTCTCTGTGGACCTCCTCTTTCAACTCTCTCCTTAAGATCGGGGTTGCTAGCCCCTCGATGAAATGGTCCCTCAGTAGGCGTACATCAATGTCCGGTGATTTGCCCTTTACCAAATCAAAGGCCCTGTTCATCCTGTGTGAGTACTCCATCACACTCTCCGCCATTCTCTGCTTTAAGCCCACGAATCCCGATAGCAGTTGCACTCCCGACCGTCTCTCCCCAAAGGTCTCCATAATCAGATCCAGCACCTTATCTGGATCTGATTGGACGGTCCTATCGTGGCACTTAACCTCTGCCCTAACCGTTTCACCTATACTACCCATCAGCAGTCTTAATCTTTCCTCTGGTGACATATGTCTCGAGGCCCAGGCCGCTTTGACCTCTTCACTGAACCTGTTGGTTAAAGTTGGGTCTCCGTCCCCGTAAAATTTGTTAATATGGGACTCTCTGGGTAGGACCACTATATGGGTCTGCTTCTCGTCCAGAGTAGACATTTTCTTCCTTAAGTACTAAAAAAAAGAGAGTTCTTTCTTACCGTGTGTGTATGAAAAATTTTTCCTCGTTCCTCAATTTTCACAGTTCCTGAATGTCCGAATTCACACACACACTAAACACAGTTATGCACAAGGTTGACTATAGGTGCCTTAAACGGCAAGTCTAGTTGAATTCATCCTGATCGCAGCGCCAATTGTGACGAGCGAACATTTATCCTGCCGACAACGCCAATTGTAACGAGCCAACAGTTACCCTGCTCGCAGCGCCAATTGTGACGAGCGAACATTTATCCTGCCGACAACGCCAATTGTAACGAGCCAACAGTTACCATGCTCGCAACGCCACATGTAATGAGACCTAATTGCCTGTAGTGCCACGTGTTAACGAGTTTAACCACTCATTCTAGACAACATTGACCACAGTATAGATACTCAAGATGCAGGTTCGCTATTGATCCTTTATTACATGAATCAAGAAATGCTTCATAATAACACAATAAATCAACAGGAATGCTTCTCAATAATAGTCTGAATCAACTGACCCCTAACAGTCCTTCACTAGGCTTTATATAACTGAATCCACATGTCTATAATCCTCCTTAACACAATACGGCTAACCCGTTCTATAACCGACTTGACATAGTCACACAGACTGACTGATCTAAGCGAGCGATGAAGATGGAAGAGAGCTCGCTGAAACGGGAAGAGAGAGAACGAGTCCTGCCGTGCCCTCCTATTTATGCCTTGTATCCGTACTCGTCCCCGTACTTGTATTCCTCCGTAATCGATACTTGTACTCGATCTCCGACCACCAGTTGCGTAGTTCAAACGTACAGACCGTAAAATAACATCTGCGTCCTATCCATCAAAGCCGACAGGCCGTCTGAATACCGTTTCCCAAAATAGCACGCGCCGGCTTTGAGGTTGTTATCAGCCCGACCCAATAAGCCACCTGTTATCGGTTGCATCAGACCAACACTGTGTCTCGGCTTCTCGTTCGTTATCATTTGTAACTGGTAGTTAGGCCTACCCCAGTTACATATATATATATATATATATATATATAATGTATTTCTGTTATACATACATTTTTTATACAACCGATCCAATACGAGCCTACCCTTTCCATCGGACTAAAGCGACAAAGCAACAAACCAGCATGTTTCAAGCCATCATAACGAGCTCTATATCTATAAAAACCTACGGCCAGTGCTGTCTTACATCTGGTGTAGCTATTAAAATTAAAACCTGGTTTCCAGCTCATTTTCTCTAAAGATATTACCCAGCATCCCGGTGACCTTGACCGTGCTGTGATTACAAAGCGTGTGGCTTCATTATTTTTTTCCCCGTGTCCAAATTCAATCAGGTGTTCTATTTATAGTTTTATCAATTTTTTTTTCCTTTGCCTCAGCCTTGTTTGTTTACCTCCGAGGAAAGCTGACATTCAAGGGTGGGCTTTTGTCTGTCAGAGGTTATAAGATGGGCTTTTGTCTGTCAAAGGTTATAAGATGGGCTTTTGTCTGTCAGAGGCTAGAAGATGGGCTTTTGTCTGTCAGAGGCTAGAAGATGGGCTTTTGTCTGTCAGGTGGGTTTATGTCCACTAATAGATAGAAAGGGGCTTTGTCTGTCGGGTGCTAGAAGATGGGCTTTTTGTTTAATGTATATACAAGGGCTTTTATCTGTCAGAGGCTAGAAGATGGGCTTTTGTCTGTCAGAGGCTAGAGATGGGGTTTTGTCTGTCAGACTGGTAGATGGGCTTTTGTCTGTCAGGTGGGTTTATGTCCACTAATAGATAGAAAGGGGCTTTGTCTGTCGGGTGCTAGAAGATGGGCTTTTGTTTAATGTATATACAAGGGCTTTTATCTGTCAGAGGCTAGAAAATGGGCTTTTGTCTGTCAGAGAATAGACATGGGCTTTTGTCTGTCCACAGACAGACGAGTGTTTTTGTTTGTCTAAATGTAATTGAGCACTTTTCCGCGTTCGTTTATTTCAGGCGTTCTGATATTTCGTCAGTCACGCAACAAAAAAAAACAAAAACTTTCGTCTGTTAAAAAACAAACTATGTTTTTGTCAGTAGAAGAACCCTACTCTTGTTTTTGTTGTCTGTCTTCACTAAATCTATCAATAAACGAGACACTAATTTTTCTAAGAATTTTACTACACTTTCAGCTGAAATCTGTCCACAACAAATCGAAGATCTCATTATCGCAGTTGCGGACTATGAAGAAGACAACATATAGTTAAGCCCAATTACGGATGGTAACAACTAGCTTCAGGCTATAAGATGGTCAAGGCGAGTGTTGCTTTCTGTGTTTGTTTGTTTTTTTTAAGTTGTGAACAACTCTTTGTTTTTCAATTAGCGCTGGTGCTACACACATGAGGGGGGGGGGGGGATCATGCCTTATGGATGGCATGCTATATGCCTTATATATATATATATATATATATATATATATATATATATATATATATATATTGTATTTTAGACCTGGGTTTGTAAACTGCATATCTATTTTAATTTTTAAAAGGTACTTACATGTTAGCTGATTACATCCCAGTTTAACTACGACTGTGATGGGTAAAATATTCCTGAAAATTTTTTTGTTTCAATCTCTACAATTATCAGCTGTGTTATGCCACAAATCTTACCACTGGGAGGCACCTAGAAAAACAAAATTTCCTCCCAACACAATAGGTCCTTCCTGAACACCACAGGTCCACCTTTTTGCAGGTCAGGCCGATTCTAATTTTAGGTTCAAAGGTTGTAATACACAGGCCTGGGGTTTGTAAAAAAAAACAATAATCTCACATCCGTGAATCCGATCACACCGTCAGCCGGTCACAAGAGCAGTGCCGGTCACACGGACTCTGCCGGCGACACGGGTAGAATAATAGTCGCGTGCGCCGGTTGACGTGAGCGAGTCGCGCCCGGGCAAGGCCGGCGTGAGCAGTCTCGGCGCTGTTGTCGCTCGTTCGACAGGTCCAGGGCACCGTCCTCCCCTCCCTGCTATACCCTCCCCTCCCTCAGCATGCCGTAATACTCCTCTCTCTCTCTCTCCTTACAAGCCTTCCTCCATATCTCTCTCTCTACGGCATGCTTTCTTCCTCCGCTCATTTTGCATGTCATCATCCTCCTCCATAGCGTACCTTCTCCATAGCATACCTCCTCCATAGCGTACCTCCTCCATAGCATACCTCCTCCATAGCGTACCTCCTCCATAGCATACCTCATCCATAGCGTACCTCCTCCATAGCATACCTCCTCCATAGCATACCTCTTCCATAGCATACCTCCTCCATAGCGTACCTCCTCCATAGCATACCTCCCCCATAGCGTACCTCCTCCATAGCATACCTCCTCCATAGCATACCTCTTCCATAGCATACTTCCTCCATAGCATACCCCCTCCATAGCATACCTCCTCCATAGCATACCTCTTTTATAGCATACCCCCTCCATAGCATACCTCTTCCATAGCATACCTCTTCCATAGCATACCTCCTGCATAGCATACCTCCTCCATAGCATACCTCCTGCATAGCATACCTCCTCCATAGCATATCTCTTTTATAGCATACTTCCTCCATAGCATACCTCCTCCATAGCATACCTCCTCCATAGCATACCTCTTCCATAGCATACTTCCTCCATAGCATACCCCCTCCATAGCATACTTCCTCCATAGCATACCTCCTCCATAGCATACCTCCTCCATAGCATATCTCTTTTATAGCATACCTCCTCCATAGCATACCTCCTCCATAGCATACCCCCTCCATAGCATACCTCCTCCATATCATACCTCCTCCATAGCATACCTCCTCCATAGCATACCTCCTCCATAGCATATCTCTTTTATAGCATACCTCCTCCATAGCATACCTCCTCCATAGCATACCCCCTCCATAGCATACCTCCTCCATAGCATACCTCTTCCATAGCATACCTCCTGCATAGCATACCTCCTCCATAGCATACCTCCTGCATAGCATACCTCCTCCATAGCATACCTCATCCATAGCTTAAATCCTCTATAGCATACTTCCTTCATAGCATACCTCCTTCATAGCCTACCTCCTCCATAGCATACCATCCACCCTACCTCACCCTAATACATGTTTGTTTTTCTTTTCCCGTCATTTAGCATGTCACCACCCTCATACTCCCCCAGCATGCCACAAACCTCACCTCCCTTTCAGACCTAACTCCCCCCTCCCTCTATACACATACATATATATATATATATATATATATATATATATATATATATATATATATATATATATATATATATATATATATATATATATATATACCTACAGTATTTCTAATGTAACCAAATGAGTGTCTAACTATCAATTGTCATCAAACTACAGTTTTTTGACAGCTTCGTAACATTCACTAAATCGTGTATAATATGTAACAAATATACCTGTTATACTTCCTATTTTCATTGTTAGTGCATACCAACATAATCAGTCCAGGAGATAAAAAGATATAAATACTAACCTCACATTTAATGTGATTTGCGTATGAATATAAACTATGTTTGGTCTCACGAATAGGCTAATGCATTAAGTTACACAAAATAAATAAATAATTATATTCATAAGTTTTTAATTTTTTTGGAATATTGACTTGAAATTTTAACCATGGGTCTTTTCATTGTGCTATGTAGATAACGCTTTCTAATTATTAAATAATCTAAGGGTGACAGGACAAATGATCTCAGACAAAATATCTCACGGACAATTGATCTCCCTGTATATAGACCTTATAATGCCTGTAACTAGACCTTCCCATAATGCATGTATCTAGACTTCCCCATAATGCCTGTATCTAGACCCTCCCATAATGCCTGTATCTAGACCTTCCCATAATGCCTGTATCTAGACCCTACCATAATGCCTGTATCTAGACCCTCCCATAATGCCTATATCTAGACCCTCCCATAATCTCTGTATCTAGACCTCCCCATAATCCCTGTATCTAGATCTCCCCATAATCCCTGTATCTAGACCTTCCAATAAAGAATGTATCTAGAACCTCCCCATAATGCCTGTATCTAGACCCTCCCATAATTCCTGTATCTAACCCACCTAGACCTACAGCTCCGTGACATTCAGCTCACGTTCACCTTCCAGCTCTAGCAGCCGTGCTAAGAGCTTACCCCCACCTCCCGTCAGACGCAAGTCTCAACGTCTACGGAGCTTGTCCGGTAATGCCATTACCACAGAAAGCCCCTTTCCATTTGCCCTTACGCAGCCGCCCAGGGCAATGTACGATGAAAGTGGCTATGTATCTATAAATTAACGGGTTTTTGTCAATGTATTACACTATTCTGTCTTAAGTGAGAGCTGCCGTTCGGAGAGCTGTTGACTTGGTACCGTAAGTGCTGGGGGTCGTCTGGAAATGCCCCGGGTCTGGGGGAGGCTGTGATTCGATTTATGGTTCCTGGTGCCATAACACTGGATTACGCGGGGGCTAAGGGCTAGAGCACTAAGGGATACAGCGATAAGGACTAGAGAGTTTTGAATCTGGTTTGACCATAACCTTGGTTTATGCGGGGCTAAGGGATACAAGGCGTCATCTGAGGCGAAAAATTACAATTAGGAGCTAAGGGCTTTATGGGGTTATGGGGGGATAAAGACTTTTTTTGTAACCTGTGATTATAAGGGGGCTAAGGGCTACAAATCTGCTACTAATACAATTATAACTGCTAATCCACCATAACATGACTGATACATCCATAACATGACTGATACATCCAAAACATCACTGATACATCCAAAACATCACTGATACATCCAAAACATCACTGATTCATCCAAAACATCACTGATACATCCAAAACATTGTTATTTCTAAATCAGTGATGTTACAGATGAGATTAATCCATAAACACTGATTTATCCACATCATTGATTTATCCATAAGTAGAAAGTAAAGTTCTCCTTCTAAACTTGACAGTCCATGGGGCAAGTGAAGTAGAGTTCACTTGTTTCTGTGACCTCGGCATATGAAGAGATAGTGTGGTCAGCACTATGCACAGTCGCCTTTACTTTCACTAAGTTACCCATCAGAGCTAGGTGGACTCAGGGACGTTCTACTGACTTGAACCCGGATTCGAACTCAAGACTTGCGGGCTATCGATCTAATTCTCTATCGCTAGGCCACACCGTACAAAACATCACTAATACATCCAGAGTCGTTTTTTTTAGAAATAAACTGATCAAACTACCTACAAGAGGATACAAAAATTGCGTGTATGTGTGTTGATGTGCCTGTTCTTGTGTGCGTGTGAGTGATAAGTGTGTGTGTGGGGGGTTGTATAACATATATAACCAAATGCAGCCGTATATTACACTTTGTAAAGATGACCCGTATCCGGTACTAGAATATGCTGACCCCCACCAAAACACAATTGATGACCCCCTAACCGGTACGGGAAATCGCGATAACGGAAGTTTGTTCCAGCTAAAAGGATGAAAATTTTTAACTGAATTAATTTTTTTAAACATGATTATTCCATCCACCCCCCCCCCTCCAATATGTGTTGTCCATCATATCATAGCAAAGTCAATGGGTGCTAAGCCATGTTAAGTCACTGGGTGCTAAAACACTCTATGTCACTGGGTGCTAAACAAAGATATTCTTCACTGGGTGCTAAACCACTCTAAACCACTCTACGGTACTGGGTGCTAAACCACTCTACGGTACTGGGTGCTAAACCACTCTACGGTACTGGTGCTAAACCACTCTACGGTACTGGGTGCTAAACCACTCTACGGTACTGGGTGCTAAACCACTCTACGGTACTGGGTGCTAAAACATGTTAAGTTACGGGGCGCTAAACCATTCTAATTTGGGCTCATCGATCCTTCGTTATAATGGTAGGGCGAAGATTCCGTTCAGATCGGCTGGGGGCGTTATAGTGGCGGGAGGGGGTGGGGGGGTTAAGAATTAAAGTCATGACTGGGAAGGGGGGGGGGAGGTCTAGAAGTTGTTTATTCCAGATCAGAACCAAATCCATGAGATAATATCTGATACACGGTCTACGCATGCGCGCGGGGATAAAGGTCATCATTGATTGGCTAACATTCAGACATCTGGTATCTGGTACCCAAAAAGGTTCGTTTTTTTATGTAGTCATGTTTTTATTTTATTTTTATTTTTTTGGTTTTTTTGGTTTTTTTTTGTTTGTAGCTTTTTTGTGTTTCCTGAGTCCTTTTTGACGTAATATCCTGAAATGTCCTTTACATAAGGGTCTTATTGTGTCTTGGTGTGTATATAGACCTATGTTTTGTCTGTACTTTTTTGTCGTATTTTATGTGTCCTTTATTTGAGGGTCTTACTGTATCTTTGTGTGTGTATCTCGGGCTATGTGTTTCTCGTGTGATTTGTTGTTAGCATGTGTCCCTACTATTGTGTCTATGTGTATATCTTTCTTTGTGTATCAGTGTTGGTCGTATTCTACATCTGTGTGACGGCCATGTGTCTTTGTCTTTTGTCAAATGTCCTATAGGCTACTTATTATGTTTCTTGAGCAACGTCATTAAATACACACTCATGTGTCTTAACACTTTCTATTTTTACCGTGTCGCAACATTGCTCGTGTGTCCTTATGTGTCTAGCAGCGTCTATATAAAATTTTGTTGAGTTAATTTTGGGGTGTTTTCTTTCATAAGTGAGCCAAATGCACTGATTCGGAGACACTATAAAAAAAAACAATTCTTTCAAAAATACTCAAACGTCGTTTGTTTTTTTCCAGTCCTCTCTATGACAATAAAACTAAATATCTGTTTCTTGTTTTGTTTTTTTTTTTGTGTCGAATTTTAAAATATTTAAAAAAAAAACAAAAAAATAAAAAACAAAACCACCGCATAAAGTGAACATGACGTTTTTGTCTCCAACTTGCCCTTCGAGCACTCCCTCCTTTTTGTGACCTCGAAAGTTCCTCGGTAATTTGATAACAGGAAACAAGTTTACCGATTACAAGTGGCGCCATAATGACGAAGGACAAGTTCTCGATAAAGTTAACTCGGTTTACTGGGTGTATCATGGAGGGGCGGCCTTTACAGTGACAGTTTACATACACACATGCACACACGCACTCACACACACAAATACACACACAGATTATATATATATATATATATATATATATATATATATATAAATGCGGAGTCCATATAAATCATGCGGGGGTGGGGGTGGAGGGCCATGCAGAGGAATGTCTTGTTTTGCTACACGCAGATATGACTTTATTATCGATTCCTATTTACTTTTATGAAACGTGAATGTTGTTAACTATAAGATTGTAATACCACGTATTAGATGGGAAATGGTAAAAATTAAATCAGCAAGTATGTCATAACATCACTTACTGACGCCCAAGCTTACCTTTGCATTTAAAAATACATTATATATATATATATATATATATATATATATATATATATATATATATATATATATATATAGTAAAGAAATCCTGCCTTGATGTAGGTATTGATTGCTGATATTTCCGTGAGGATGTACAATAACAAAAAGCTGTACAGCAGCAAATGACCGGAAGCGCGTCTCTCCCAACGATCGATCCCCGCAGCCGGTGCCGCCCTCTGGGGAGCCGGGCTTTCATCTCCGCCATAAACACCGGGGTGAGGCCGGGCGAGGAAGCAGAGGCAGGTGATAAAAGGTGGGAAAGTGCACTGTGACCCCCGGAGCGTGACGACGTTAGAGACTTCGTGTGCAGTCCAGCGAATAAGGGGTGGGGGAGGGGGGAGGAGGGGGGTGTTTCTTGAAGACATGTAATTGATTTCACGCAATTAAGTCAGAAATTTCTATGGTATAGTTTATGTCAGGTTAAGTCCATACGTATATATATATATATATATATATATATATATATATATATATATATATATATATATATATATATAATTTTTTGGAAGCTTATGTTGTTCCACATTAATCCTATAAAAAAACATGTTCCAAATTTTAAAATAAACAACATCGC